GAACCCGCCACCTTAGGTGTACGTGGCTGGCACCTTAGCCGGTTGAGCTATAGGCGCCGAGCCTAGATGCCTTTTTTGAAGGGAGGGTAGAAGGTGGAGTATGGGTACAGCAAGTGGTTGCTAAGGAGGATGAAAAGTGGATGACAGATTGACTTGTAAATTAACCTAAGGGACAGGTATTGGGTTTTAAATGATTTGGGCCAGGTCTGCTAGGTTCAGGGAGGAAAGGAATCTGTTGCCTCCTTTAATCACCTGATCAGGTCAGTCTGATTTTATGCAGATAGAAAGACAAACCCTTCCAATGCTTTCTAATTGTGAATGGCCTTTAATTCGAAATATTCTTTATGTTAAGTAGTCGTATTTTTAGATAAAATTTCCTTAGCTACTTCAATATGAATCACTACTTTCAAAAATTTACTTCTCTGTGGAACTTGGAATTTAAGTCCCTGATTAATTTATACTGAGGTAGCTAATAATCTCAGAAGATTGAATACAATTTTTTTTTTCTTAAGAGAAATATCTCCAGCTTGTATTTCAACTATGTTTTTATCCAAAAAAAAAATTAGGTATAATTGGCTCAGCGCCCATAGCTCAGTGAGTAGGGTACCAGCCACATTCACCAAGGCTGGTGGGTTTGAGCCCAGCCTGGGCCTGCTAAACAACAATGACAACTGCAACAAAAAAATAACCAGGTGTTGTGGTGGGCTCGTATAGTCCCAGCTACTTGGGAAGCAGAGGCAAAAGAATTGCTTAAGCCCAAGAGTTTGAGATTGCTATGAGCTGTGACGCTGCAGCACTCTACTGAGGGTGACACAGTGAGACTCTGTCTCAAAAAAAAAAAATTAGGTATAATTGATATGGATTTTCTGGTATTTAATGATATGAGAAAATAATTAACCTACACTGGAGCTCTAGTGCCCCTACCAGCCTCTTTGTGGGCATTTCCACCTAGATGGCTATATATAATTCATTTTTAATTGTAAATTAATAATAATTTAATTTTAAATTAAACTTGTCCAAAACTGACTATATCTTTCCACAATAAACCTGGACTCTGTCTTGATTCCCTGTCTCTGTGTTTGACCCCTTTGTCTTGGTTCAAGCCTGAAGTATGCCAGTCAAACTTTGCTGCTTCAAGAAGGAATTATTCCAAGAGGGAGGCACAAACATTGTAATAGGCACATTATGTTTCTTTTTTCTTTTTTCTTTTTTTTTTTTTTGAGAAAGAGCCTCAAGCTATGCCCCTGGGTAGACTGCCGTGGCTTCACAGCTCACAGCAACCTCCAACTCCTAGGCTCAAGCCAGTCTCCTGCCTCCGCCTCCCAAGTAGCTGGGACCACGGGTGCCGCCACAACGCCTGGCTATTTTTTGGTTGCAGCCGTTATTGTTATTTGGCGGGCTGGGCTGGATTTGAACCCGCCACCTTAGGTGTATGTGGCTGGCGCCTTAGCCACTTGAGCCACAGGCGCGGAGCCCACATTATGTTTCTTAAACATTTATATATTCAAATAAATATGCACACTTAGTTTTTACACATGGAATGTACCCCTTTGTACTGTAGGGATCATGGTGAAACTTGCCTTTCTCCCTTCATCTGGTTTGCTGCAAAGATCAACTCACAGTTATGGTAGATTAATAAGAGAAAGGTTTATTTCTAAATACCATGCACATGGGGGGAACCACAAGAAGGATTATCCAAAGTCTCAGAGATGGCCAGTGACTTTTAAAGATGCCTTTTAGAAGAGTGGAAGGGGGGACTGTAGAAGGTATACCTAGAGCAAGTGGTTGCTAGGGGGCATGTGTAGGTGAGTGGAAATAATCTGAGAGACAGTTATGTGCTTCAAATGATCTTAGGGCCAGTCTACTAGTATGCAATAAGGAGGTTAGCAGCCTTTTCAGATTCTAAATCTGGTTTCTCAGGTTTTATAGAAAGGCCAGTGCTTTCTGATCAAAAATGGCCTTCTAATTTGAAATATTCTATATACCAAAGAATCATATTTTGGGGTGAAATTTCCTTAGCTCCTTCAGTACCTATATTGTAGAGCAGGGCAGAAACCACGGATATGTTATGTCAGCTGCCACTGTCATTGTCATGGATAGCCACCCCCTTTACCAATAAAATCCCCTTGGGCCTGTATTTTGTGCAAGCTGGTCTCTATCACAGAGTACTGATGGGTTCCAGCCCTGGACAAGTGCCTGGTGAAGGTTTTGCTGTTTTCTAGGGGCCCCCACCACTCAGGCCCTATGCCAGGCACTTTATATGTGTTAATTTTAACAACAGCCTCGTTGAGATGCAGACATGGTTCCTCTTTTTACAAAAGAGGAGACCAAGGCACAGGCAAATTAAGCAATTCGCCCAGGATCACATGGCTAACAGATGACAGAGCCAGGACTCAGCACTGTGCAACTCTTCTGCGGCTGGAATGGCATATGTTTGAATTCTTCTTTGTTTGAATAATTTCTGAAGTGCCTGAATCTTCAGTATTAGAAAAACAAATTTAGCATAACCAAATGTAGTAGATAGCTGTAAAACATGAAATCTTATGTTTGCTTAAGTGAATAAATAATTTTCTCTTTAAAACTTTATTTTTTATCTCAAAAGATAATTGTTCTAAAAACAATGTGTTAACTTGGATTCCATCCTGAAACTAAAAAAGGACATACGTGAAAAAACTGGTAAAACCCAAATAAGATCTGTAGTTCAGTTAATAGTATTGTCTCGAAATTAATTTCTGAGTTTTGGCAAACGTACCATGGTTGTGTAAGATGTTAGTATTAGGGGAAGGTGAGTGAAGGAACTCTTGATACTATCTTTGCAACTTTTCTATAAATCTCAAATGATTTCAAAATAAAAAGTTTAAAAGAAACTTTAAAACTTTGTCATGAATATTCTTCATGGAAATTCTATTGTTATATCATGAATAATTCTTCATGGAAAATTCTATTCAGCAATCTCAGTACCAATATCAAACCTGTACACAAAGTAAATTTGTAACAAGATGATTTATCCTTTAGATTTTCATTCTAAGACTGAAATCACATGGGTCAGATTTATAATTATGTTTTAAAAATAGCGTATTAAAATGTCAGGTGTAAATTTCTCAGTTTTCAGAGTGACCAAACTTTAATCTTTTCCAAATAATGGCTTTTTACACAAAGTTTTCTTACTATATGATGGATAATGATGGGACAAGAGGTATTCATTGTCAGTATTAAGTAATTATTAGGTTACAGGTTGAAAGCTACCAAAAAAATCTGATGCAAATTACTAAAGCGCTCAATTCCTGAGCCTAGCTGATTTAATCAAGATTTTGTCAGTTTGCTGAGTTAAGTAACTCCTTCCATTGACTTTGGAGACTGCTATATAGATTGCCCTAATGAGCCAAATTCTGAACTAGATGCTGGTCACTAAAATACTAAATTTTGAGAAGGGATTGTCTAAGTTTTGGGAAAGTGGTGAAATAATGCTAGTGATGATTATAAGAAGGAAAACATTATTCAGTGAAAACCTTCTGAAACTTGCAGTGCAATGTGGCACCTGTGATGGGTTAAGGTATGAAGTCTCTTAGCCCTTGGAGGAGCTGAGAGAGCTGGGGATGCCAGAGGCCCAGAGGGTCCTTAGAAGGGACAGCTGCCTGACTAGCCTCTTCTGTCTACCTCAGCGTCATCTTCTGTGCAAACAACATGAAAGGCAGTGTAGTTAAGCTTTGCACAATTACATGTGAAAGTTTTCTGTGCTACTTACATTCTTCCATTTGCAAAATATATTATGACCATAATGCCATAGGTTAAAAAATATAACCTATTTTTGGCAAATTTTCAGCTCTTCTGCGCCGAGCCACCACATATAAACATCAAAACAAGCTTCAGGAAGCCATAGAAGATTTGAGTAAAGTGCTGGACGCTGAGCCTGATAATGATTTGGCTAAGGTCAGTACAGAAAGTGATTTCTCACCTAATTCTATAGTAGGCTGTTTCTATGTTTATGTTTCAATAATATCAATCTTGCTGAATAAATTAAGGTGAGGATCTTCACATCTTAAAATGTTAACATCTATTTGAAATGAAAGAGAGCAGATTCTTTTTTCCCCCCAAACTATAAGCTTACCTCTAAATGACAAGTATTTAATTCTTAATTTTTGTCCAGGCATGGTGGCTCACACCTAGAATCCTAGCACCTCAAAGGCTAGGCAGGTGAATTGCTTGAGCTCAGGAGTTGGAAAGCAGCCTGAGCAAGAGTGAGACCCCATCTCTACTAAAAATAGCAAAACTAGCCAGGCATTTAATTTTTCTCTTTCCTATAGTAACGTAGACAATGCTTTGCCCTGAGCTAATCTCACTTTATTAATACTGAGTGGTATAGAAGTTGTCTAGGTAGGATTAGGGATGGGCTCCATGGCCAAGGAAGAATGTTTCCCTGTGTAGCTAGCATGGTAAGCATGGCATCGTTTGATAACATGCACTACACTGCCTGGCTGAGCAGACTGACTCAGATATCCACTTAGGGCAGTGCTTCTCAACCTTCCTAATGCCTCCTAAAGGCCGAGACCCTTTAATACAGTTCCTCATGTTGTGGTGACCCCCAAACATAAAATTATTTTTGTTGCTATTTCATAACTGTAATTTTGCTACTGTTATGAATTGTAATATAAATATCTGATATGCAGGATGTGTTTTCATTGTTACAAAGGGGTTGTGACCCACAGGTTGAGAACCAGTGACTTAGGTGGATCTGTGGGAAGGCCTGAGAATAGAGGTAAGTGTCAATGACTGAGATTTTCCCTGACTTGCAAATTAACAAGGTGCCCTAGCAAAGGATACAGGATATCCCAGTTCAGGCACAAAGGCCTTTGTTACTCATGGCGCACTAAGCAGATGGGCTTCATGTTCATGACAGTTCCTGTGGCTCCCAAGTCCTACAGGGGAGACACAGAGTGGCCCAAGTGGGTGTTGCATACTCAGTGGTTTTGTGTGATGGCTCATGGATACAACATTTAGGAACTCCTCTTCTACAAGCAAACATGTCCAACCTCTACTCTAGAGGGAAACACATCTTTTTTATGCTGGAAAGCAAATAAACCTGCCCTCTCCTTTACCATTAAGTGCTCTTTCTATTTTCCATGACTGTTCTCACTACAAACATCTTGAAAAGATGTCCAGAATTGAGATGGTTTAGTACCTCTACTCAAAGTATAGTCAGAAACAGGAGAAACCCATGGAGAATTATCTTCCAGCAATAAGTTGTCACTGAGTTTCCACATACCCTATCAGGTAATCTATGGCATTCTCTCCAGGTGGCAGCCAGTGCCTCTGAGTATCAGCTGCTTTTGTCAAGTCAGCATTTAATGTTACATTTAGGGTCCAGCTTAGGAATGCATCTTTTCCCCATAATATTTCCTTTTATAGTGGCTATATTTCTTAAAAAGTTAATGCAACAACACTGTAAAAGAAAAAAAATTGAAATAAAGACAACTACCTTTAATTTCACTATTACACTATTACACTAAAACACAATTTCTTGGTTATTCTTTTATTCTTTTAGACAGAATCTCACTTTGTCGCCCTTGGTAGAATACCATGGTGTCACAGCTCATGGTAACTTCTAACTCTTGGGCCTAAATGATTCTCTTGCCTCAGCCTCCCAAGTAGCTGGGACTACAGGCACCCACCTGGCTATTTTTTGTTGTAGTTGTCATTGTTCTTTAGCTGGCCCAGGCTGGGTTTGAACCCACCAGCCTTGGTGTATGTGGCTGGTGCCATAACCACTGTGGTACGGGGGCCAAGCCTACTCAAAACAATTTCATGTTTACCTATTAATTTTTAGGACAAATGCCTTTTTTCTTAATCATATGCAAAGGTTAACTCAAAATGGATCATATACTTTAATATAAAGCCCAAATTATAAAAGTTTTAGAAAACAATGAGAAAACTTTTATGACCTTGGATTAGACAAATATTTATTAAAGATGACATGAAAATTGAAATTCATAAAAGAAATGGTTGATAAATTGGACTTCATCAAAATTAAAAATGTCTGCTCTTTGAAAGACACTATTAAGAAAATAAAAAGACAAGAAGCCACAGGCCAGGGAAGTGGCTCACACCTGTAATCCTAGCACTCTGGGAGGCTAAGTCAAGAGGATCACTTGAGGCTCAGTGCCTGTAGCTCAGCAGCTAGGGTACTAGCCATATACACTGGAGCTGGAAGGTTTGAACCCAGTCCGGGCCTGCCGAACAACAGTGAAAACTACAACCAAAAAATAGCTGGGTGTTGTGGGAGGCGCCTGTAGTTCCAGCTCCTTGGAAGGCTGAGGCAAGAGAATCACTTGAACCCAAGAGTTGGAGGTTGCTGTGAGCTGTGATGCTACAGCACTCTTCAGGTTGATCCAGGGAGACTCTGTCTCAAAAAAAGGAAAAAATACCTAAACTTAAAAAAGGTCCTCAAGTGTTGTGAGAACATAGAAGAATATATATATGTATAATATATTCTTGGGAATATAAAATGATACCATTATTTTAGAAAACGGTTTGGCAGTTTCTTAAAAGTTAAACACAGGCCGGCATTCCTCCTTTCTTCCTTTGGGATGCCACATTCTCTTCCTCTTCTCCCCTCTCCCCTTCTCTTCCCTTCTTTCACTCCCTGCTCTCTGCTCTCCTCTTTCTTTCTCATCTCTTAATGTCAGTGGTATTGATACCCGACTTTTGATATTGGATTTCCAGCCTCTTGGTCTCGACGATTCGATGAATGAATCGACGGACCACAGGATGGAAGTTAGGTTTTATTTGCAGAGGTATTACAGCTCTTACAAAGAGCCAACCCTTGCAGAGCAGGATAAGATAGGTTTTATACAAGTGTCACAGCTCTTACAAAGAGCCAAACCTCCTTGCAGGGCAGGATGCAAGTGTTACAGCTCTTACAAAAAGCCAAACTTCCTTGCAGAGCAGGATCCAAGTGTTACAGCTCTTCTTCTGCTCTCTCTCCCCTAATGGTCTGCGACGATCTGCTGATGTCTTTGCTCTCCTGCTCTCTCTCCCGGAAGGTGAACAACAGTCTGCCCCTAGGCCTTCTACTCAGGGGTTTATACAGGGGCAGTTGTCCAATGAGCTGAAAGCTGAGCTGATTGGTCTATTTTCAGGAGCAGAATTGAAAATGGACCAATTAGGGATGCAGTGGAGGAGCCAGTGTTTTCCCCTGCTAGGTCTGGTCTTTTTTGCTACTAGAGCCTCCGGTGGGAGAGGAAAGCTCCCTCCACTTGCTCCAGCCTGCCGGTTCCTTTGCCAGCTGCTGCAGCCAAGACGGAGGCAGCAGGTCCCCCAACCCTGCTCAGCTGAGCTGGCTGGGGTGCCACTTTGTCTGGTATCAGTATTACCTGAGTGGCAACATTTCAGGTCATTTTTTTTTTTAATATACTTGTTACTCTAAGTTTTGTTTTGTGTGTGTGTGTGTGTTTTAAGCCACGGACATGCATAATTACAATCAGACAAAGCAATAAAGTTGCATTGAAAAAGAAAAGAAAACACACCACCTAAGATGCCTTATCTTAGTTATCTTTATTCATTTTTATCATCTTTATATTTTTACCTGAATGATTATATTTTTAATTAAAGGAAACATTTTCTTTAATATGGTGCTTATGTTGTAGAAAATCTTATCAGAGGTTGAGAGAGATCTGAAAAATTCTGAACCTGCATCCAAGACTCAAACCAAAGGGAAAAGGATGGTTATTCAGGAAGTAGAAAACTCTGAAGATGAAGATACAAAGGACGGTGGGGGACAACATGAAGACGGCAGCGGAGATAAGAGTAAAATGCTTTTTCTATTTTGGTTATATGAAAAACTGCTTTTTTATGTGATGAACTGGCTCAGATATTTATTTGTACAGAAATTCTTAGTCTACCAAAGTTTATTGAGCTTTGTCTTGTGAACCCACAAGCAAGTTTAGCTCTTCTTGTTTTTTATTTTGAGACAGAGTTTCTCATTGTCACCCTCTCTTTGTCTACCCATGGTAGAGTGCTGTGGCATCACAGCTCACAGCAACCTCAAACTCTTGGGCTCACAAGATCCTCTTTTCTCAGCCTCCCTTGCAGCTGGGACTATAGGCGCCCAGCATGATGCCCTGCTACTTCTTAGAGGCAGGGGTCTTGCTTTGGCTCAGGCTGGTCTAGAACTACTCAGCTCAAGCAATCCATCCGGCTTGGCCTTCCAGAGTGCTAAGATTACAGGCGTGAACCAGCCACAGCCTTCTTTAACTCATTTTCATTCTTAACCTGTCATCTTTGTTTAGCACTGAATTTAATTCTGTTAATCACCTTTAAATGAAAATGGCTATGTCTGTGTGACATAAACCATTTGCAACTCAATCTTAAAAATCTCTCTTAGGTTGTAAGAGGGACTTTACCTAACAAATGCAATCAGTGTAACCTGTACCCACAATGAATCCCCAACAAGAAAAAAGAGTTTTAACTAGGGAAAAAAAAAAAAAAGAAATCTCTCTTAGGGAGGCCTGGCACTCATGCCTGTAATCCTAGCATTTTGGGAAGCCAAGGTGGATGGCTCACATGAGGTCAGGAGTTGCTGACCAGCCTGAGCAAGAGTGAGACCCTGTTTCTACTAAAAAAAAAAAAAAAAGAAAGAAAGAAAGAAAGAAAAACTAGCCAGGTGTTGTGGCGAGCTCCTATAGTCCCAGCTACTTTGGAGGCTGGGGTAAGAGGATCGCTGGAACCAGCAGTTTGAGGTTGCTATGAGCTATGATGATGCCCTGGCACTCTACCCAGGCTGACAGAGTAAAACTCTGTCTCAAAAAAAAAAATTAATTAATCATGCCAGGCATAGTGGCTCATGCCTGTAATGCTAACACTCCGGAGGCTGAGGATGGAGGATTCCCTGAGCTCACAAGTTCAAGACCAGCCTGATCCAGACTGAAATCTCATCTCTAAAAATAGCTGGGCATTGTGGTGGGTACCTGTAGTTCCAGCTACTTGGGAGGCTGAGGCAAGAGAATCACTTAGGCCCAAGACTTTGAAGTTGGTTCGGCACCTGTAGCATGGCATCAGCCACATATACCAAGACTGGGGGGTTCAAACCCGGCCTGGGCCAACTAAACAACACTGATAACTGCAACAACAACAAAAAGACTTGAGGTTGCTGTGAACTGTGACTCCACAGCAGTCTACCATGGGTGACAAAGTGGGACTCTCTCTCAAAAAAAAAGATTTTTTGAGAGATATCAAAACAATAGATATAAAAACAATTGATTGTTTTGGGTATATCTACTTTATTCAAGGAACTGCAATATGACCAGCTCCATTTATAGGCCTAAAGGAATGCATTACTGGAAAATTGCTGTGTGCACCTCTCAAAAACTTTTTAAACATAAGAAAGGAATAAGTATAATTTCATTTTTTTTTCTTTGAGACAGAGTTTTACTATGTTGCCCTCATTAGAGTCCTGTAATGTCACAGCTCACAGCAACCTCTCTTAATTCTGGGGCTTAAGCAATTCTCTTGCCTCAGCCTCCCAAGTAGCTGAGACTACAGGTGTCTACCACAACACCCGGCTATTTTTTTTGTTGCGGTTGTCATTGTTGTTTAGCAGGCCCAGGCTGGGTTTGAACCTGCCCGCCTCGGTGTATGTGGCTGGTGTCCTAACCACTGATCTATGGGTACCAAGCCTATGAAGTAATTTTTAAGAGAGAATCTACACTAGACACAGCTTCATTCATAATATAAAACATTGAAAGTTTTATATCACCTTTGAAGGGAAAGATTTGTCTCCTGGCTCTACCAGGGTGTAAAAACTTTTCCCTCCTTCTTGAGAACCCCTGAGCAACCAATGAATTCGGAAAATGATTCTCAAGTGAAAAAATCAACATGTAAGTAATTTGGCAGAATATTCTAATTTTGAGGGAGAAATATAAAATATTCAGTTTACTCAATTTTTACAAAATAAAGAATAAGAAGTATAAGTTTGAATGTCTTTAGTGACAAAAATATAAAGTAAATACTTCAGATTAGAATATGATCAGTTAAGATAGAATAAAGACAAAGGAAAAGAAAAGGAGAGAGAGAGAAAGGAAGAGACAGAGGAAGAGCCCCAGAGAGCTGGGAAGGAGGTGAGAGCATCTATAGGATAAAAAGAGAGAAACTAAGGTAGCAGCTCTTAAGAGGATGGAACCTCTCTTCTCAGTCTGCTTTTAAGTTCTGGCAACAATATGTTCTTCTTCAATTTTACATGTAGCTTTAACATAATTAGCCAAATGTCTCAGAGTTAAAGGAAATCACTTTAAATCTTATCCAGGTGAAGATGAAGTATAAAGTAGATCAATTGCTCTTTTAAAATTTAGTGTTTTAAAAATTCACATGTAGTAAAAATGGACTTTTCCGTACAGTCTAACGCATGCACAATTTCATGTAACTATCACCCCAGTCGGGGTGCAGAACAATTTCCTTACCCCTTTGGGTAATTTTGTTCCCTCCAACTAACTCTTGGCTAAACAGAGAACAGATCAACCTTGGTTTTATCGTTTTCCAAATGTCATATAAACGGTATCAGAGAGCATGTAACCTCTTGAAACTAGCTTCCTTCACTTAGCGTGTCACTGTGATTCATTCATGTGGCTGGTGTGTGACATTGGTTGTTCATCCCTTTTTATTGCTGAGTAGCAACGCAATAAAATTCCATTATATAGATGTACTGAAGTCTATCTAGTCACCTGTTCAAGGACATTCAGGTTGTTTCCAGTATTTGGTAATTATGAATATATAGCTGCTATCAACATTGCTGCACAGGTGTTTGTGTGAACATAGGTTTTTCTTTTCCTTGAGTGGGACTGCTGGGTCACATGGCAAGTGTATGTTTAAACTGTGGCCAGCCTGTTTTCCAGAGCGGCTGTAACATTTCACACTGCCATTAGCAACATATCAGAATTCTAGCTGCTTCACATCCTTGGGATTGTCCTTTTTAAAATTAAATTGTTTACCCATTCTATTAGGGGTATAATAGTTTCTCATTATTATTTAAATTTGCATCTGCCTAATGGCTAATGCTGTTGGGCAGGGGTCCTCAAACTTTTTAAACAGAGGGCCAGTTCACTGTCCTTCAGACTGTTGGAGGGCTGGACTGCAGTCCCCAGGATGAGTTGGCTGCTAAGCAGGACAGGCAGTGGCGGCAAAAACACCGGGTAGGTTGGGAGGTAGTTTGAGGACTACTGCTATTGGGCATCTCATGTGTTCATTTGCCATCTCTAAATCATTTTTAGTGAAATGTTCAAATTATTCCATCAGTTTTTTTTTCTTTTTTTTTTTTTTTTGAGACAGAGCCTCAAGCTGTCCCCCTGGGTAGAGCTTCAAACATCATACTAAAATTTTTCTTTCTTTTTTTTTTTGTGAGACAGAGTCTTACTATGTCCCCCTCAGTAGAGTACTGTGCTATCACAGCTCACAGCAACCTCTAACTCTTGGGTTCAAGCGAGTCTCCTGCCTCCGCCTCCCAAGTAGCTGGGACCACAGGCGCCCACCACAATGCCTAGCTATTTTTTGGTTGCAGCCATCATTGTTGTTTGATGGGCCCCGGGCTGGATTTGAACCCGACACCTTAGGTGTATGTGGCTGGCGCCTTAGCCACTTGAGCCACAGGTGCCGAGCCTATTCCATCACTTTTTAAAAAATTGGGTTGTTATTGGCTCAGCGCCCATAGCACAGTGGTTTCAGCGCTAGCCACATATATGGAGGGTGGCATGTTCTAACTCGGCCTAGGCTAAACAACAATGACAACTGCAACAAAAAATAGCAAATAGCCAGGCATTGTGGCAGGTGCCTACAGTCCCAGCACTTGGGAGGCTGAGACAAGAGAATCGCTTAAGCCCAAGAATTGGAGGTTGCTGTGAGCTGTGACAGCACAGCACTCTACTGAGGGGGACATAGTAAGACTCTGTCTCAAAAAAAAAAAAAAAGAAAAATTTTAGTATGATGTTTGATATGTCAAACATTTATTATTTAAAATTTCAGATTTATGAATGTCGATCACCTGCAAGGTGAGCCCAGGAGTCCGTATACAATTTTATGTGATTATTTTCTTGTGTTCTTGCTTCTTTGTGATCTTCCCTATACTTTCTGGCTCCCAGGGTTTCCCTTCCTCTTCCTCTGGCTAGAAAGCCAAGCCTTTAATTTTTCCAATCGACTATGCACTTCTCATGACTGTGTGCTCCCAGGACTAAGCGGCAAGGGGATAGAGAAAAAAAAAAGCAATGAGGAGTCAGTCCCCTGACATTGTTGCAACCAGGGTTTCTCCTGCCATCAATAAGAGCTACCCTCCAAGTTTAGGGGCTGCTTGGCTGCCACTGCAACAGCCTGCAGGGCCAGAACCAGAGAGGATTAAAAAACAACAGACCCAAAAAGAAACAGGGAATTCCTAACTCTTCTGAAGGGGTTAGCTGTCATTTTGTTTCAAATAAATACTGAGAGCTTCTCCTGAGAGCTTTTTCTTCTTTCTATCCACACTCAGCACACAGTTCTGGGTTTGGGGCTATCTTTGAGTCCAGGGCAGGAGATACCGGAGGAAAGAAAAATTAGAAACTCACTGGTAAACTGGGGATATTTCAAGTTTCTTTTTCCAGTCTGCCTGCTACCATTTACTTTTCAGTATCCATGAATTCTGTCCCAGGTGTTTAGCTGTTTTCAGGGTGTGTTTAGATAGAGATAGGATGGAGTATGCTTACTCCATCTTAGCTGGAACTGCCCTATTAATACTATTTTTTAAATGATTAGCACATTTGAAGAACTATGGATATACTTTACATATTATATTTAATCCTCAAGGAACCTGGTAACTATCGATACTCTTACAGATAGGCAGTGCCAATTTAGAAAGGTTAAGTCACTTGCTACATTTGTGTAGGTTGTAAGTCATGTGGCTGGGATATGGCCCCAAATCTGTGTGACTCCAAAGTCTATCTCTTAAATTGGTTATTGGATGCCAACTAAGAGAGTGCATGTTTTATAAAACCCAGACTAAAGGGCGGCGCCTGTGGCTCAGTGGGTAGGGCGCTGGCCCCATATACCAAGGGTGGCAGGTTTGAGCCTGACCCCGGCCAAACTGTAACAACAACAAAAAATAGCTGGGCATTGTGGGTGCCTATAGTCCCAACTACTTGGGAGGCTGAGGCAAGATAATTGCCTAAGCCCAGGAGTTGGAGATTGCTGTGAGCTGTAATGCCATAGCACTCTACCGGGGGTGATAAAGTGAGACTGTCTCGAAAAAACAAAACAAACAAACAAAAACCCTCGGACTAAACATCACCAGGCTACAATGTCAAAGAAACAGGTACAGTTGGTGTTATCCACTCTTATGCTTACTGATATTTTACGAAGTGTAATCAGAAGTGGAACCTATGTTGATGAGCAAGTACGTTAGGGACTAGTGTGATCATTTTTGAAACTCAAAGGTCCTCCTCATAAATAGAGATTAACAAACAAGAAAGAGCTACACCATTTTACATTCCCATCAGCAGTGTATGATAGTTCCAGTTGCTCCACATTCTTGCTAACACTTGTCGTTACCTGCCTTTTTTGATTAGTCATCCTAGTTGGTATTTCCTTATGGCTTTGATTTGCATTTCACTAAGGACCAATTAATGTTGACTCTGTAGATTAAGTCAACCCAACCAATAACTGAGTTATGATATATATGATCTGCAAATATTTCTCCCATTCTGTGGGTTGTCTTTTTAGTTTCTTGATAATTTCCTTTGATGCACAAAAATTTTTAATTTTTATGATATCCATTTACTTTTCTTTTGTTGCTTGTGCTTTTGGTGTCATATATAAGAATCCATTGTCAGGTCTCTGCACCTATAGCTCAGTGGCTAGGGCGCCAGCCACACACACCAGAGCTGGTGGGTTCGAATCCAACCCAGGCCTGCCAAACAACAATGACAACTACAACCAAAATAGCTGAGCATTGTGGTGGGCACCCACCTATAGTCGAATATGGGACGCCTCAGAACCACTCCTCTGCATTGTCCCATGGGTAGTCCAATACCAACCTAAACTCAAATGTCTCTCGTTTGGGCTTCTGTTTACCTTTCCAGAGACTTCTGTTGAATCAAGGCCTTTTCAGTCCTAAGGAGAGAATGCTTTGCATTCAGTTCAGTCTGGGTCATACTAGTTTATAGCTCTCTGTACTGGAATGAATTCCTTCACTTTTTCTTTGTGTCTCTGTTGCCTTATTTGTAAACTAGGAATGATAAACCCTGGTATTAGGATTAATGAAACTATATGCAAAGGTCTTGACTCATATTAAGTTTTAAATAAATAGCTACTTAGAGATAGCATTGGTGAGACACAAGGGGATACTGTACCAGGGGCTGGAAAATACTATATTTTCCACATTGACCACTGTTTTCTGCTGACCAAAATACCACATTGACCACTGTTTTCTGCTGACCCTGAAGTGTGGTTTCATCCGGTTTCTAGTTGAGGACTTGTGTAGCAGATCCCAGATCAAAACAGGTGCCTGGCTGTAATACTACAGGGTCCAATCTGGGGATTTATCTCTACAACAAAATTTTATTGTTTTAATAATTAAGTCCCTTTTGGTTTGAGATCCAAATTGGATGTGATTCTGCTGTGTAGAAAAATGTATTAATTAATGTGTTTTTATACTCAAAGTGATCATACACAGATTTTTACTTAGCTAACTGTGGTTTTCTACATGCTGTAAATCTTGGCTTTGCCTTTTATGAAAGAGAATGAAAAATCACTAAGAATTAGATTAGAATTTGTTAAAAGTTTGGAAATCTCTGTATTTTTTAATTGTGCTTTGACATGACTGTTTTGTTTTAAATATCAATGAGATCACCAATGAAATATTTTTTTTGTTGTTGCAGTTTGGCCAGGGCCGGGTTCGAACCTGCCACCCTCAATATATGGGGCCGATACCCTACTCACTAAGCCACAGGCGCCGCCCTAGTAATGAAATATTAATACATCGTTTTCATATTTAAAAATAGCAAATAATCAGTTCTTAAAGCTATTAGTACCGGAAATCATTCGATCAAAATCAAAGGCATTGGCTATGAAAAATTTTTCATTTTGTTTTTAAAACTCCAGTTAAGCGGCTGGCGCCTGCGTCTCAGTGAGTAGGGCGCCGGCCCCATATACCGAGGGTGGCGGGTTCGAACCCAACCCCGGCCAAACTGCAAAACAAAAAATAGCTGTGCGTTGTGGAGGGCCCCTGTAGTCCCAGCTATTGGGGAGGCTGAGGCAAGAGAATCGCTTGAGCCCAAGAGCTAGAGGTTGCTGTGAGCTGTGACACCACAGCACTCCACCCAGGACGACAAAGTGAGACACTGTCTCAAAAACCACAACAAAAACGCCCGCTAAGCTTAAAAAGTAGGTGCCTATTTTATGTGACTTCTTTGCTAAATTCGCTTTAAAATTATTTCAAAGTGACTTTGACTTTTCCCCGAACCTTATCTTCTTAGTCCTTTGGGCGCCGTCAGGGTATTCACCGAGCTTCCGTATCTCCGCTCCTGCATTCATTCATTCCCAAGCCGTAAGCGGCGAGGGCAGCCGGCCTTCTGTCGGGCCACGCGGCAGGTGAGGTCTGGCGAAGGCAGCGGCGCCAAACGCCCGTCTTCAGCCTCTGAAGGGTCAAGGACCGGCCGCCTTGGGTCCGAGCCGCAGAGCGCGCCCCGGGAGGCCGCGGGG